TATAAAATCAATTTAATGTTCTGTGACAAGTGTTAACAAAAAATAGAAACAGAACAAAATAGAAAATATTAGAGTGCATTTCACTGCATGCACACAATAAGTGTAAATGCTATTTTGGAAATTTGTTTCTTTTCATATATATGCAGTAAAATATAATAAAATATTCAATGACTCTTTGGAGTTCAGAGCTCATATGTTAGACAGTTTATATCATGCCTATTTATTATTTATTTATTTATTTTAAAGATTTTATTTATTTGACAGAGAGAGACAGAGATCACAAGTAGGCAGAGGGTCAGGCAGAGAGAGAGAGAGGCGGAAGCAGGTACTCCGCTGAGCAGAGAGCCTGATGCACGGCTTCATCCCAGGATCATGAGATCATGACCTGAGCAGAAGGCAGAGGCTTAACCCACTGAGCCACCCAGGCACCCCCATGCCTATTTATTTTTAAAATTCTATTTGATTCTTAGTTAGAACATATAGTTGGTAAGCATAGCCTTAAGAGTAGACATGTACAATTTTTCTATGAACCTTGCTTATCTCAGAATGATTTTGTTTATTTCCCTAACACTGAAAATATAACTTAACTAAGTATAAAATTATTTTGTCACAATATTTTTCCCACTGTGCTCTTTAATCCATTGTCTTCTGGGATTTATATTGTGGAGGATTCTATGATCCTATTTTTTTAATCACTTTTTTTTCCCGTTGTATATGTAGAGATCTTCCCCTCCCTTTATCTTTTTAATGACAACATTCTACCAAGTGTCTAGGAGTCTCTTTTATTTCAACCTGTCTGCACTTTCAATTCATATACATGTTTTTATTTCAAATTACATTTGTAATTATAACTATTTCAGTTCTGTACTAAAAGCAGTCCCGATTACCTCTCAATTTTTTTCTTTTCCCCCTCAGAACTATCAATTATAAATTAGCATTAAAATGCTATTAAATTCCTTCATACCTAATAGATCCCTGAGCTCCAACACAAAAGCATTACTCGACTATTTGAGAGATTCAATTTTGTTTTGAAAGACTTTTGCTTACAAGCAAAACTATACACAGTAAGAAGTCAGGTCTGGAGATAGCCTGTGTCTGGATCTCAGAAAAACAGCTCACCTTGGAGTTTTCATAAACTGGTTCCTCTGCCCTTGCTTCATTTCTCTGGCTCTCCGTTGCCTGATCTCATCTCCTGCCATACTCCCCTCACGATACCCTTGTCCTTCTAATGCATGAGCCAGCTTAGATGGACTTCCCTTTGGAGTTTTGTGCAAGTTGTTGTTTCTTCTCCCAGGAAGCTTCTCCCAGATCCTCTCCCCTGACAAGCTTCAAGATTAAATGTTGCCTCCTCTGAGCAGCCTCCCTGTTCACTTCCAGTCATGGTCCTTTTTATTGTCCTAATGGGTTTTTTTCTTAGAATTTATCACTATCTTATATTCCCTTGTTTTTGGATGTTTCCTGTCTGTCTTTCCCCGGGTACAAGAAAGGACTTTATCTAGGCCATCACTGGGGCAAAGAAATTTAAAACACTTTCTAAATGACAGACTGCTTCCCTTATTAATGAGCGGTTCTCCAATTAAAATTATTTGGGGGTACCTGGCTGGCTCAGTCAGAAGACCCTGTGACTCAAGGTCATGAGTTCTACATGGGGTGTAGAGATTACTTAAATAAATAAATAAACTTTAAAATTAAAATTATTTGGGCTTCATATTTGAAATTATGTGCATTGTATTTTGTAGCTTGTAGTTTTAACTCTAAGACACGGTTACAGTTTATGTATTATCTCAAATTACATTTACTTCTTAAATTATATTTACTATTTCCCTACATGTCTTGCTTCTAAGAACTTTAAGGTAAATTAGTTCAAAATAATAATCAGATCCTTTTAGGTGCTCAAAAACATCTAAGCATTTTTCTTTTCAGCCAATAAATCATAATCAAATCACTTTCAGAATTAATGAACGGAAGGGACCATCTCCATGGAACAAATACACATGTACTACCTCACACCTGTCAGAATGGCTAAAACCAACAACACAAGAAACACCAGGTGTTGGCCAGCATGTGGAGAAAAAGGAACCCTCTTGCAATGCTGGTGGGAGTGCAAACTGGTGCAACTACTCTGGAGAACAGCATGGAGGTTCCTCAAAAAGTTTAAAACAGAAATACCCACTGACCCAACTGCACTAGCAGGTATTTATCCAAAGAATACAAAAACACTAATTCAAAGGGATCCATACATCCCTATGTTTATAGCAGCATTATCTATAATAGCCAAATTATGGAAAACAGCCCAATGTTCATCAATTGATGAATGGATAAAGAAGATGCATATAATTTTTGTGGGTTCATAGACTTCACTAAGCTTGTTTATAACTCAGATTAAGAGCTCCTGCTTTAGATGATTTTTGTTATTTTATTTTATCCTCAAGGGTTTTCATTTGCATTGTTTCATTTGTAAGCAATATGTAAGTCTTTAAGAAAAACTAAAGAATTTGCTTGAATTCAGGTAAGTAATTTCAACTTTTTATGACTTCCTCTTCTGAAAAACATTTCATCTTAGAAATCAAGGTTGAGAAAATCATATAATTTATTTTTTAATCTTTGTTTCTAGTCATGGTTACCTATGAGTAGTAGTCCCAGAGGTACACGATACAAGATGAAAAACGCTAGACAGATTCTTTAATTTTTTTAAAGCTTCTATCCAATATTTAAGTTTACATATTAACTTTTCAAGTTTGGAGATAGAAAGAGTGTGCCATGTTCTTTCTCACAGTGGTCAGTGAGCCAGACTCTTGGAATCCCACTGACAAAGGAGACTTCATTATTTTGGACACTGATACAATGAATCTAGCGAGAATTCTTCCCAAGCCAGCATATATCCTTTATTACGAGCGAGCATGGTAAACATCATTGATACAGATACACGTCTGTCTTGCTTTAAAGTTGACCAATCTCATGACCTGAACTTTGGGTAAAAGTAAATTCCATGGTGGATTTTCCCAGCCTGACTGAATTTGAATCAGTAAGTTAATTTATGTTTGAATATATGTGATCTTTAGAGGCCGGATAGACTTAATAAATATTTATCTAACATTAATTTATGCATTTTAAGTATTAAATTTTGAAAGAAAATAAATTTCTAGGTTAATAAAATAGCGTAATTAAATCCTTTATTTTTCTCGTTATACTGAAATAATAAACCAAATGGACAAAAAGAAGTCAATAAAAGTTTTAGCCTGAAACATTATTTCTCAAAGATAATGTTAAGATATTATGAAAATATGCACACTGCTTGTAATTGAACAGCAGAAAATCAATGCATTTACCTTTGAAAAGCAGAGGTATTCATTGCCTTCAAGCTTCAGTTTAGGACCTTTGCCTATGAGCTGCTGGTCCTACAAAGATGATCTTCTGGTTTTGTTATGAAAGAAAATGGAAGAATCTCTCTGTAAGGAAAACTTAAGTCATTTCTGTCTCAATCTGTATCTATTCTAGTGTATCTGGAACACATTAATTTCTGCCTATCATTCTTTGCCAGAGTAGAAAACAGTTTCCAAATAAAATAATCTGAATTATCATAAAGCCAAAAATAAGAATGCAATATTTGAAATTATAATTCACTTAACCAGTGAAAACTTGAACACATTGTCTTCTTTAGTTGGGGATTTGCAGTCATCTTTTGCATATTCTATTTAGCCAACAACCAAATTTTAATTTTTAATTAGGAGACATTAAAATATAATTAGCAGCAAATAACAGAGTGACAAAGCTACAAAAATCCATAAAGGTCAAAGGAAGCAGCATTTTAAGCCACAGCAAGAAGTGTTCTTCCATGACTTTGGGTAATCATGGTGACCACTTCACCTTATCCACATTCACCTCCAAGGCAAATTTTCTAGAAGCAACCTTGCTTTTTGAAAATAATAACGATGATAATAATGGAGGGAGAGCTGTCAAAACCAGAGAGTGTACATTCTTCAGAGTCAAGAGACCCTCCAACCTCAATCAACACCATATATAAAGAAACATAGCAAATTTCAACACAGCATACACACAACAAAATTAATTCATTTATCAGAGACCAATACAATTTTGAATATGCATTTTCCGGAAGGAAGCAGAGGGCAACAGAGACCATCTGCAGCTGTCAAACCTGTGGAAGTGAAACAAGGCATTACAAAATTCACACAATATATGAATTATAAGTGAAAAACAAATGCTTTATCTAAAAAAAGTTGGTTGGTGGCCCAACATATAGATCTTTATATGTATATATTTATATATTTAATGATAAAAATCAGCTTGCATGAGGGTCATAGTCTATCTACTTTGAAGTTATATCACACGTACTATAAGCAATTTACAGAACTTGTCAAGTTTGCATATACAGGAATTGCAAAATGAATTAAAATACATCGAAATATAGAACACTCAAAATGTATTTATAGAAACCTCCCAGGATTGACAGGGATTGGCCGTAATCAGCACTTGCCACCATTGAACAAGAACTGTAATCAAGAAAAAGGCAAAAAAAAAAAAAAAAATCCAAGAAAAAAGAGAAAATTTAAAAAACAAAACCAAACCTCTTATATTATGTCTTATTTAAAATAATGTTCTCCTTGTTGACTCGCAGTGTTGACGATTTTGTTGTTGCCCCAAACCGGGGGTTTTGTTTGATGATAGTTTATGTTCTGTAGCTTTTTGATTTCTGTTTGTTTCCTGCAGATAATGTGTCTTTTAGTAGGAAATCTGTAGTAAATATTTGCTATACCGATGACGTTCAGGCCAACCCCTGAGCAGTCATTGAGATGATGCTTTAAGTAGTCGAAGGAAAAGGAAAAAAAAAATAGATCTTGCTATTAGAAAAAGTCCTATCACTTCACACTAATTTTCTTGAAATAAAAGATCAGTGATTTGCCCAAGAAAATGTTATGAACAAAGCGTGTGATAGCCTCTTCATTTATGCTTCCGGAAGCAGGCGCTCCTTGGGTAGGTAATTAGAGAACAGTGGGTGCAGAGTGGTGCTTGGAGTTTAGGGTCAACTTTGCTGTCCGCTCCGTAGATTTTACAGGCGATTTGCTCTTTGCTTTAAGAAGAGAAAGTGATATTGGAAAAAAGTCAGCACTTTAGATTAAAGCAAAGCACCCTTCACAAAGCCACAAACAAGAAGCAGGACAGAAAGTCCATGGCTTGTAGCTATCCTCGCACCTGCGGAAGAAGTTATAAGATATTCGCTCATCTTGAAGATTTCCAATGCTCCTTATTAGGCTGTTTTAAACACATACATATATATATTTAATTAGCTCGCCAGCTTGGCTCTGGTGCTCATGAATGTCTTGGCATGCACTGCAAATAACAACACATACAAAGAATTTCAGTCCCAGGAAGTTGGTCTTGTTTTGTTTTGTCTGTTTTCAAACAATGCCATCCCATGGTTGGGAACACTGAGAGGAAGAAATCCAAATGCTCTTCCTTTAAGTAATTCTTTAAGGATCATTCACTATAGTCATTTGGCTATTCCTCTATTGGTACAGAGAAAACGCATCCCCTGTTTTACTACTGCATAAGCATAAAACCAAGGAGTATAACCAGAACTGAGAGCAGCAGGCTTCTCAAGGGCAGGGAGAATGTGTTCTGGGATGGGTGCATTAGGGCATTTTGTTTTAGAGAAAGATCTTTCTCAATTGTTTACTCTTATTTATTTATTTTAAAAGATTTTATTTATTTATTTGACAGACAAAGATCACAAGTAGACAGAGAGGGAGGGGGAAACAGGCTCCCCGCTGAGCAGAGAGCCCGATGTGGGGCTCAATCCCAGGACCCAGAGATCATGACCTGAGCCGAAGGCAGAGGCTCGACCCACTGAGCCACCTAGGCATCCCTCAAGTGTTTATCTTAAAATATGAGGAAAGCTGAGTACTATCAAGAGTTGGAAATTTTTGAGAGAGCTTGAGGACACTGTAAGGGAGAGAACTAAATTGTATTCTTGCATTTTCTTCATCATACATTTTATTCAGTAAGCTTCTAGCTATTAATTATATATTAAATACCTTTATTTGTAAGAAAACAAAAATGTGATGAAGCTCAAAGAATTTCTTTTTTGGGAGGGGGTCTTTTTTCTTTCTTTCTTCTTCTTCTTCTTCTTTTTTTTTTTTTTTTTTTTTAATTGGAGATAGATTGAAACAAGTTGAAGGGGTAGGGGTATGGAAATTCAATCTTCTGAATATTTCCCCTAAATCATGCTCAGGTCCACATTGCCAAATGATAAAAATAGAGGCAAAAACACAAGCTCTCAAAACATCACTGCAGAATAAACATATAAACATTTGGGGGTTCTAAGATGGCCATTTAATAGACTAGCATTACCTTTGTTGTTGTTATTGGTTGTTGGGTGTTTTTTGTTTTTGGTTAGGTTACTCTGATTGTCAGAGTTTGGTAGTGAACAAACTGATTGTCTTTGTTTGGTAGTGAACCATATATTTAACACAATATCTCCTCACAGATACCTAATGGCTGAAGACCCTGCAGTTATTGACCAGTCTCTACAGGGTGCCTTCATTCACGTCGGGTAAGAATGTTCAATACAAAGGTGATAGTAGTGGTCATGTGCAGCTCTCAGCACAAAGTTCATGCAAGGGAAATATATACAATCTATGTAGAACCACTACCATCAGAGCTTTCCAAAATTAAATATATAATCTCATTATCTTTTGAAGAGAAATTCTTTGACAGTATTCATTTAATCAAAAACAAAGGAAAGGAAAAGAGAAAGGAAGGAAGGAAGGAAGGAAGGAAAGAAAAGGAAAGAAAAAAGAAAAAAAGAAAGAAAATTAAGAAAGAAAAGGGAGGCAGGGAGGAAGGAAAAGAGAAGAAGAAAATGATTACATGGCTCTTAGAACAGCCAACTGCACTTGACACAAAATATGTCTGATATTGAGTAAAGGTTTAAAAAATGCTGAGAGCAATAAAAGCAAGCAAAATGATTCACTCTTCAAAAAAGATACTTTGTGAAATAATGGTTTCCTTTTCAGTGTGGGCATTGGGGATTAGCTCACACTTGCCCGGTCATAGACCACTTGCCCCGTCATAGACCACTTGCCCCTTCCTCATATAATCAACCCTTCATAGGAAATGCCTGAACCCCTCATTCCCAAAAGATATGAAGGCAACAGCTACTTCATTTGGACCCAACATTTCCAACCATACTATGTCCAGCATGTGCAAGTTAAAACAAAGTTTACTTAAGCGTATAATCGGAAAGAAACCCAATTCCATATGGTGAAGAGTATTTTAAGGCTACTAAAATTTTGAGCTGCCATCAGATATGCAATACGCCATTGTGATAGAGCACTTTTTTTTTTTTTCTGGTAATCATTCATCCACTCTAGGTCCATGCATTTCCTAGCATATTCTATTAAATGAAATGTATTTCTGTCAGGACCATTATAAAGCTTTTTTCCCCCTGTACATTAGATTCTAAGGCAATTTTATCATCAAATCACTGATTGTTTTTCTCTACTTTCTGTTTTAGGTCTTGAATGAAGAAACAGGGACTCCTGTATCTTTGTAAATCCAAAGGCTTAGCAAAATCTAAGACTCTGAAATGCTGTCATTTGCCCTGTGTTCTTTTAACAAATATTCATCATAGGCATTTCCATTCAGATATACACCATTCTGAATATTACATTATTATCAAACATATTATTATACTCTATAGAAAGTTTTTTTTTTTTTTAAGTCAAACTTTGGTCACTCATCATACTTTATTCTTATCTTTACTGATAGAAACATGTTACTTTTGTGAAATAATGAGAACCAGGACTGAAGCTGGGAGCCCTGAGTTCCAATTTCTTCTGCTGCCTCTCATTTCTAAGATCTCAAATAAGAAACATTTTGTTCTACATTTTCTAAATTGAGCATAAACTGTTTGTGTAATTTTTTTCATATTAGTATGGCAGACATTGTGTTAGCTTGCCTATTTTGCTTTATTTGGTTTCTTTTGCCTTGTGTCCAGGCCAGGCAGGGTGACTTATTGTTCCCTAATAGGACCACGAATTTAAGCAACTCTTCCCCTCAAATAACCTGCATCCATTTTGTGTGTTCCCCAGTTTCCAACGGCCTTAACACAGCCTACATTGACTTGTAATTCATTACATTCACAGCTTATCTCACTGATTACACTGTAAGCTCCCTTAAAGGCAAAGGACAAAACTTGAGCAATTTTTTAATGACTCTCAATGTCTTTGACAATTTTATAGCTTTTGCCCCTTACACAGAATTTCCTATGAAGAAGATGGATACTATTATCTAAATTATGCGAAGAAAATGTACAGATAGCGTGCCCAGACGAAGAGCAGCCTAACAGAACCTAGACATTTCTCTCCGACTCAGAATGCCATTTCAGGATGTCCTTTGACTTCTATTTAATAATGACGACTTTCATTTGTTTTTATGCTTAAAGATTTCCACAGTGCTCTCCCAGGTGTAATTCCCCAAGCCTTTGTAACACAGGAAAGGTATTTTCTCCATTTTGCAAATGGAAAAGTCTAATAATCTTCTTAGAAGTCTAAGGACTGCAAAAATTTAGCTTCCAGCTTTCCGCTCCTCTTATACCTGATGCAACAGCCAGTGTCACATCCCCTTCACGGAGATGTGGAAACGCAAGCATTTCTCAAGAGGCTGACTGTGACAAAAGAGAGTTTGGCTAAGGAGAAATATGAAAGAAGAAAAAGGAAAAGGAAAAAACCTCAAACATTTTATCTTTGCTATCATTATTATTTCAAAGAACAACAAAAAACTCCATCTGTTGCTTTAAACAAACAAACAAACAAACAAAGAGCAATTAGAGAACAGGAGTGAGACCTTGGCATCCTGTGCAGCCCAGGGGAGGTGGGCCGCAGTTATCCCACATTGCGAGAACCACTGTCTCGTACAGCTCAGTCCCGCATTTCCCTGCCTCATTTCACTCAGCACCACTTCCCAGACTGCGAAGTCCGCCTTGCCCCTCTCTTCTGTCTGCAGGATAGAAGAACTTAGCTCCCTTTTACGACCTTCCTTTTTAAACGGTTCCATCTGCACTGCCATTGCTTCCCAGCGCCCACGGTCACGAGGCTGGAAGACACTGGGCTTGTTTAACAACGTAGCAACCCTCTCATTCACATCAATTTCCAAAATGACTAAGACACACCGGGCATCTCCTGTGTGGCAGGAAGATGTACTAGGTAATTTGCATACATTGTCTTAGTTCATCCGCTCCACAGTTCTGTTTAGTAGATGCATAGATCAGGAAAATGTAACTCAGTGACATGGAGTAACTCACCCTAAGTTACCTGGTAACAGGTAGTAAAGTAAAGAAATGCAAGTCAGATCAACTTAGAATAAGGATAGGCTTTTTAAAATAAAATTCCCTGAGGTGAAGGACCATGCTCCATTGTCTCCGTATCTGTTAAATCAAGACGTGAAGCTATTATTTGAACGTACACGAAAGTTTTCAGAGAAAATGCGCTGGCTATAACATGCTTCAGAGAAAAAAGAAAAAAAGAAAAGATCTAAAGTTTCTTTTCCCCAACTCTGAGTTGATAAATATGCGATACAAAATCATCAGATTTTTTTTCCTAAACATTTATAAGACGTAAAGTTTGTTCTGCTCTAGACGGTGTACCAAATGTCGTATGACATCATAATATTTTGAACTTTTCATACCATAGACTTTTCATATCATAGACGAACATAGGTTCATCCAAATTCATTTAAATATTTGAGTAGAAGGTGGCTCCACCACCCTTCCTACATGTCCTCTTCTAAGAACTTCTTTTTTTCCAAGCTTTCTATTCAATTTGATAGCCTAGGACTAAGAAAGTGGATTGTTTTATAGCAGGACCTCAAGGTATTGATGGAGTGAGAAAGACCCGGTGAGAAAGACCGGGTAGAGCTCTGGTCTACCCGGAAAAAGCATCAAAAGAGGATATGGGTATCGAATTCAAAGAACTAAGTGGAGCATTTAGACGACTATCTGGACAATTTATCCCATCTAAACTCTACCAGCTCTTCCAATATCTGCTTTCTCGTGGCTGTGAATATTTTCTG